TTGGCATTTCCCTCAGTACCTGTCTGGGATCTGTGGAGCCTCGTAGCAGGGTCAGAGCAGCAGGCAAGCTGGCCGTGGGCTGGGAACTCCCCCGTACCCAGCAAAGCGTGAGACAGAGCGGAACCTGGAAGAATAGCACTGATCCGCCAGAACTGGCAGCCGCTCTGTCCACAACAGAGGGTCATCTGATTACCTCCGTGGCTGATTGACAGGTGGGGACGGACCAACCATCTGCGGGAAAACACCGGCACGCATTCCCTCCCTCCTGGATCCGGCGTGGCGGCCGCCCTGTTATGCAAAGCAGGACGCGTCAAAAGAGGACATCTGTCGCCGACCGGAACGATGGCATTCAAGCGGCGCGCGACGTCCAAAGGTCGGCAGAACAAATCACCGGGCCAACCCTTCACCCTCCCCCCCCCCGCCTCTGCTCCCCGAGCCCCGCAGTGACGGTGCCCAGCTGGGACCAGGAGCCCGCGCCTCGTTTGGGAACTAGGCCAGAGAGCCGTGCATGGCCCGCCCGAGGCGAGGCACGAAGAGAGCGGGCGGGCCCCGCACGCGGCACACACCACGCGACACACAAGCTGTCGCCTCCTGGGCGTGCCGAGTGAGCACGAGCCCGGCGTCCGCCCAGCGACCGGTTGGGAGGAGAGCGGACTCCTGCCGGAGGATTGGGTAATCCAGGAAGGACAGAAACCCCACTCCCCGTTGCGCAGGCACTGCAAGGCTAACCGCCGTGCGGGGCTAGCGGAGAGGCGGGCAGGAGTGTGCAACAGCCGCGCAGTGCAGGACTCCGACGTCGGCCCTCTCAGTCATCCGGTCTGGGCGTCTGGCGCAGCGAGCTACTGGCAACGGCTCGTGTAAGGTGAGTGCAGGGATGCTGTCCCCGTCTTGACGGGACCATGAATGGGTGTGTGCTGCGAAACTGGCCCTTTGTCCAAGGGGTGTCGACTTGCTTCTTTTGAGAGGACCCTGCCCCCCAATTTGAGTTGTCCCCCGATGTTGGCTTGGACCCCCGAATATTGTTTCCCGAAATATTACAAAAGCATGGGGAATAGTGCCAGAGGGCGACCGACTTTTTTAGTCTTCGTAGTGCTCAAGCCATGAAGGGTGCAGCGGGATGACTTGACCACGGCAACCTCAAAATTGTTTCATCAAGGTGCTGGGTGACTGAAGACATTGACGGCGAGCCACTTCACATTTTGCGGTTTTTTGTTTTGCATATCAAACATAAACCCAGGTGTTTTCTCCCCACAACCCAAGCATGACAATGACATTACTAATTCACCCGTCTCGCGGTCTTTAATGCCAGGCGACATTTGGTTCCCTACCCATTGTTGGCTACGAACCGAATACTGTTTTACTTGAAGCTGAAACGCGAAGTGCCTTCTTTCAATGTCTCGTGAGAAAATAAAACCCAACAGCATGTGTTTTGTTGCCGCATCGTTAGTCGTGATTATGAACACAGTGTAGATACAAGTTGACTAGCAATACGGAAAACCATTCAGGCCAAAATTCAGCCCAAAATTTTCGCACGCCGCTCACGAGCCACGAAAAAATCATAACGTAAATATATCTCGTAAGACCACGGGTTAGACCAGCGACCGCGGCGGCCCGCTGGCGAGAGCTAGGGCACGACTGGCGCTCACGGGGAGGGGGGTGCGAGTGGCAGAGCGCTGGCAGAGTGGATTTGGTGACCGAGGGTGGTCACGTGCGCTTCAGCGAGATGATCCGTCTATCCGCGTGAGCCGAGCCTGTCCCGATCCAGCTGTTGGAAGCGGCCATGAGTATCCACTTAAGTCTGTGCATTTCAGCCCTCGCCGGTCCCGATCACACTTTCACGGAAGGCATGTTTGGCTGGACTGTTCGTCTATTGGTTGATTCGTTGTTTTCTTAAACCGTTCCGAGAGCTCGGGTCGGTCAAACTCTAACTGGACCAAGTCCAGCGCGCGTGTGCGGATTTCCCTTCCGATCATGGTTTCTTGTTCCTGCATGCCGAGTCGCACGCTAGACATCAGCTGGCTTGTAGGCTGACCAATGGGCTCCTCGCATAAATATCACTCTTGGGAGGTGGCGCGTGCCGAGGCGTTTCCAGCGACGCCAGGGATAGCATGTGCAGAGGCGTCCCCAGTGGCACTAGAGATGGCGTGCGCAGAGGCATCCCCAACACCAGGGATGGAGTGTGCAAAGGTGTCCCCAGCGACACCAGGGATGGCATGCGCAGAGGCGTCCCCAGCGACACCAGGGATGGCATGCGCAGAGGCGTCCCCAGCGACACCAGGGATGGCATGCGCAGAGGCGTTCCCAGCGACACCA